GCTCCAGGCCATCCGTTCCCACAGAGCATCCATGTGCCAACCATGATAACGTTCCCACAAACTCCATCCGTTCCCACAGAGCATCCATGTGCCAACCATGATAACGTTCCCACAAACTCCATCCGTTCCCACAAACCATCCATGTGCCAACCATGATAACGTTCCCACAAACTCCATCCGTTCCCACAGAGCATCCATGTGCCAACAATAAATCCGAAACCCGTTTCGCTCGAGAGAGTTGCAACTTAGTCTTGATTTTTATAAAAAATAGACTTGGGATAAGACTGGTTTTGCTGTTTCGCAAACCGCTAAAACACTGTAAATACCGATACAATCGTCCCCTTGACTAAGTTCCAAGACAGCCGTTGCGCGGCAAGACGAAGGGACTGAACGTTTTGGGTTGGTAGGAGGGTTTGTTCATGCGGGGTCTACAAAAGCTCTTGGAGCAATGCCATGCTGCGACCAAACCCGTGTGAAACACGGCGCACCACGGCCACAACGCTTCTGGACACATTCACTGGTGGCAAAAGGAGGGGCCCCTCGTTCAGGATGAGGAGCTTAAGGATTTTTCAGCTTGTTCCGGTTTAGCAGTGCTTCGGTTTGGGAGCTGCGCAGCAAACTCTAACCATGCTTTAGCCCAAGCGCCAGTCCCTGCCTCCAACACTTGTTCAGGGTTCAGGTTCTTCGTCTTGGGGCGTCGAACCCGAAGCCCTAAACCTAAACTTTTGAAGGCCCTGGTCATTGAGCCCTAGACGTAGCTGCAAGACTCCTGAGCACGGTGTGGCCTGACTTTCGGCTGCAAACACGGGCCGTTGAGCTTCTGGCTCCTACGCCCTTGCTGACCGATGCCTACGCATTTTGTGAGACTGTCAAAATGTGCATACACGCCTAAAAACATGTGCATACGTGTGTACATGTGTGTGTGTGTGTGTTTGGATGTATGTATGTATGTAAGTATGTATTTATGTAGATATGTATGTAGATATGTATGTATGTATGTATGTATGTATGTATGTATGTATGTATGTATGTATGTATGTGTGTCGGTATGCGTGTGTATGATTGTGTATGATTGTGCACGTATGTACGTGTGTGCGTATGTGCGTGTGTGCATGCCTGTATGTATGTATGTATGTATGTATGTATGTATGTATGTATGTATGTACGTATATATATATATATACTTATATTTATATTTACACACATTGCACACATGCACCCGTGTTTTTGTGTGCACGCGATCTAGTCAATCGAGCCTCATAAGCCAAGCCAACATAGTACGGCATAGTTGTTTCAGGTCAACAGCACCGTAGAGCAAACGAGTATGTTTACGAGTGAACATGCTGGACGTTATCTTCCCGGTACATCTTACCCTATGGTACAACCCACATGTGCCTCTATCGCCGTCGTCCTGTCAGGCTCGCTTGCGGTTCCACATGCACTGCTGTCAGGACGAAACCATGTCTTCTGCACCTCTCATTGAACTAGTGAGGGGGCCAGTGCTACTAGTTTACTAGCGCTGTTTCTATTTCGGACCCAGGACCAGTGCTTCGAATCGCACCGTCGCATGGTGAGGTCCAGTAGAGTGGGCGAGGTTTTGGGTGCACAGCCGGACTTGACGGAGCCATGGCGACCGCGGAGGTTTCCTCGGCCCCAGGCCAAGGGGAAGGCCAGAAGAACGACAAAAAATCAAGCTGTCAACCCCGCAAACTCGCCTGAGAACCCCCAAACCCTAAACCCTAAAAGCCCTAAGCCCTTAAATCCCTGAACCCAAAATCCTAAACCTTTACACATCTTCCAGCGTTTCGGCCTTTCCTCCATAACAGGACTCGCTGAGACTTCTGCTGTTTAGAGCGCCGTGTTGGATCCTTGTCAACTTACTGTTACTACTGTTACAGGTCCACATGTATCAGAGCTTGAAACCTGAAACCCTAAACCCCAAAACCCTAAACCCTAAACCCTAAACCCTAAACCCTAAACCCTAAACCCTAAACCGTGAAGCTTCTTGGCCCAGGGGTCCGAAGGCTAGACCCTAGGCCGTCCCACGTTGAAGCTTGTAATGTAGGGGCCTTAATAATTAGAACAGGGTTTTGGCGTCCACTATAGTATCTTCGTGCTGAGGAATCCCCAAACTTGTATCGGTAGTTCTTGAGGCCCCTAAAGTACTCTGGAATGCCGAAAGCTCTGAGATTTACTTTCTTCAATTGCTAGTTACAAGCGAGGATGGCCTTGGCTTCTAGTTCCTGCGGACGGAGAGGAAGAGAGACGAACAGACAGCCAGTCAGGAAGAGGCAAAGACATACACAGGCACAGATACTCTTTCTCTCTCTCTCTCTCTCTCTCACTCACTCACTGACTCACTGACT